TGCAAAATTCTAAATACAGAAGATAGAGTAGCATGTGAAGAAGAGCAAGAAAGCCAGTTTTTCCAAACGCTAGAGTGCATGAAGGGGAATAATGTATAGTAAGGTTGGAAAGATAAGTTGGATCCATGTTGTAAAGAGCTTTAAATGCCAGAAGCTACTAGTAGGTACAGTGAATAAGAGCAATGAACTTGGAGTCAAGAAGACTTGAATCCAAATCCTGCCTCAAACACTAGCTTTGTGACCCTGGACAAGTCTACCTCACTTTCCCCATCTGTAAAATGGAGATATAATGGCACCTACCTTCCAGGATTGTTGTGAGGATCAAATGATATAACATTTGTATAGTGCTTCGCAAACCTTAAAGCACTATGTAAATGCTAGTTATTATTATAGTAGATGGTAGAAACAATAGGGAGCCAATGAAGTTTGCATGACTGTGACTTCAGAGGTAAGAATTCAACCCAGGTCCTTTGACTTCAGAGCCAGTGTTCTTTCCAGTGTATCATCTTTCTGCCTCCTCCAGGCTAGCAGGAACTTGGTCATGCTGTTACAAGAGAATCCACTAGGGGTTACATGAGATGTGTAGATAGATTAGATAGATAGATAGATAGATAGATAGATAGATAGATAGATAGATAGATATAAATGTGTGTATGTATTGAGAGAAATAATTATTAATAACCAATGACTTGGGGAGATCCAGAGTTCTCCTTTTTCTAAAGTCCTCATTTCAAGACATGCTGTGCAAGGTCAGGACTGATAATAGCAGATAGGATTAACATTCTCCTCAATTTAGGTATTGCTACCCCACTCAACCTTTAAAGAGAATTTAAGCTGAAGCCCATTGTGTTCTGTTCAGGCTTGGGTGGGGAATAGAGATCCTTTGTCTAGATTTCCACAAGGCTGGCAGGGAGGTGATTTGGAAGTAAATGACATGATCAAAGTTAGATTTCCCCCATCCCCTCATTAGAATAGGCCCACCTCTCATTGCAATATTCATTCTTTCATTAATTGTTAACCACAGTTGATTGCCACACTCAGGAATACCCATTCTTCCAAGGGCATATAAACTGTGAGCCCACTGCCATGATTCATCTTTGGTCCAAGAGAGATTGGCCAAATGTCCATTCCTTTTATTAATAAAATGCTAGCATTATTAGTAAAATGATTACCCCAAAACTATGTCTCTTGAACTTTTTAAATGTCACAATGTGTAAAAAGAGCTATATCCATGTGTATATATGTATGTATACATATATATGCATACATATATATTATATATAAGTTTAAAAGATTTGTTAAATATGAGTAGAGATGTTCTAGCTGTGAAGTGGAAAGGCTGAGGAAATAAGGGAAATAAGTTCCTATGTGGTTCTCTCTCCCACTGGGAAGAGAGGTCCACATCTTGGAGACTCCAAGTGACAAGACCACATTAAAAAAACCAAGTCCAGCCAAGCAAACAGGGAGCCAGGCAAGCCTAGGGGGAAAGGCATCAAGAAACAAAGTGTAGCTACTCTTTTTTGCTGTTTAAATCATTATATATTAGCAACCAATCTTGCTGTTGGCCAACTCTCAGAAATGGCATATGGCCAATAAAAGGTTCGGGTAGAGTTTTCCATCTGTTGTTTGACTCATTCATGGCTTCCACTTGTACCACTCAGTGTCAAAATACTTTGTATTTCAGTCTCCTTTCTGAACAGCATGCCAGCCATTAAATGGGCATTATACTAAGCCGGCAAATGGCAATGTATGAAATCCTACCCGTAGAGATGTGCATTACTTCAAATCAGTCTTCTCTATTCTGTATTGTCTTGCCATGTCTAGCAAAGTAAAGGTAGATATATTAAAATGGGGGAGCCCTTTGGAAGAGATGAAGAATGGAGGGCTCATTATCCCATTAGTTTCTGCAGTTGGAGGCTTCTTGAAGAGTCCTCCGGACAGATGTCAAATATCTCAAAAAAGGCAAATTTGCTCTGTGGGCTCATTAAAAACCAAAGCCAAGCACAGAGAGCTGGCAAGGGCTAGTGGCTCAGTCCTGGAAATTAGATCCATCCACTCATTAAAATGCAAAGAGGAGAGATTTATTTTCCTGGCACTAGATTCACCATTTCACCACCTTTGGCATAGGAGTTGCCTGCAATTGGGAGAAGGGGGTTAGGGACGGGGGGTGGGGGAGGGGGGGAAGCCTGTCTAGTTTTTTCTGGTTTTCACACATACCTCTATGTGCTCTGTGAAAATACCATTCACCAGCAGCATCCCACAGCAAGAAAGATGATTGTAATAAATCTCCAAAGATCCCACTTGCAACTTGCTCAGCAATGGGGCACTGGGGGACTTTTGTTTACCCCAAAACTTGGAATAGGAAGTTCTTTGGGTAATCAAAGGCATGAAGATTGATTCTAGCCTGGTTCTGACATTGTGCTTTTTAAAGGGGAAGAGGAGGGGCTGAGGAAAAGGGGGACTGTGGTGATTTATTATTATTATTTTTTTAAATAAGGAAATGGAGACCATTCTGAATCCCAGTTCCATTTGAATCCACAGAGGGAGTAGCAGCAGAAATAAATAAAAAAGCTGAACAAAGACGTGTTACATTCGTTTGGGGTTTTTTTTTTCTTTTCTTTTTTATGCTTGATGGCATTTTTTTTTTGACTGCTCTGCACCTGTCAGAAATACACTGCCAGAGGCAAAAAGGGAATGATGGACCAGACTCCAAAGGAATCCACTGTTGGTACTGACTCCTGCTCAGATTCTGGTGGTGAAGGAAGTGGGGGTTGGGGATGACAGTAGGATTCAAGGAAGGAAGAGGAGATTCATTGAAGTATTACTGCATAGGAATGCAACAATAAATAAACTCCTCAGCACCTTGGCAAGGCCAGGAGGCTACACAAATTAACAGCAAGGAATTTATTTGCACAGAAATGGGCTCTGAATCCTGATTGGCATCAAGGATTTATAAGCTACTGGGTTTTGCAGTGAGACAAAGGGTTAAGAAACCAGTGGACCAGTGGCATTTGGGAATTTGGCAAGAACTCTTTTTCAGATGTGCTGGGGTTGGCAAAATCTCATTCTGAACAGAGCTAGATTCTTTAGGGAATATACACACATACACACACACATACAAACACACATACATATATCTGTGCATATATACACACAAATGTATGTACACATATAATACACACATGTATGTGTGTATATATTCCTAAATTTTTTTTAAACTTGTCTTTAAGGGGAAATTTAATCTGTCTGCCTCTGACTCATTTACACATTAACACACACACACACACACACACACACACACACATTTTTTGGGGCTGTGCTGTAGAATAGTCAATACATTGGAGGCTGTTTGGGAAAAATTGTCATTGAACCAGGAACAAGACTTAACCTGGGACAGGTTTCCCTTTATCTTCTTCAGCATCTTCTTGGGCAAGTGCCAATAGAAAGGGCTAAAGATTATTCCCTCAGGTGCCATTTTGGGAAGAGAAGTCTCTATCTTTTAAAAATAAATCAAAACACATGCATACACATGTGTGCAAATACACACAGACAACCCCTCCCCCATATTAAAACTCTAAAAAAGAAATCAAGATTTTTTCCCCGAAGTTAAATGGAATGGGATTCCCAAGAGGTTCAAGCTCATCCCCTGAGTAGAGATCTTATGTAATTCAAATGAGATATCATAAAAGACGGTAAAGCTCATCTTCTCCTTCCTATTAAATTGTAACCCCTCCATTAAGGACTTTGTGTTTGTAGATACCAATTCAATACACAGTTGCTAAGTTTACTATGTACTCTTCATAAGTGTTGGGGATACAAAGATAGAAAAAGAAAATAGTTCCTGCCCTCACAGTGCTTACATTCTGTTGAAGAAAAACCTATGTACACAAATAGGTGTGTACAAAGTAATAGGGGAGGAGTAAAGTGGCATTTTTAAAGAGTGATTTCTATTAAGGAAAAAAGGTGGTCTATGATTAAAACAAAACAAAACAAAACCAGACATTCTTAAGGCTATGGTGGGCAATTTCAGTTAAACAATTCAAATATATTTAATAGGAAAGTTAAAAATCTTTGAATTCATGTAACAATTGCTGTCTGGAAGACAAAGTACATTGCATAGATTTGGAGTTGCAGGAGACCTTAGATGATCTAGTTCAACTCTTTCTTTTTTTTTTTAACCAATGAGGAAAATTAGACCTAGTGACTTACCCAAGGTCACATAGAAAGAGCTAGGATTTGAACCTAGGTTCTCTGACTCCAAATCTAGTGTGCTTTCCCCAGCATCATCATATGAATTTAGAGGTGATACAGCCTCTCTCATTCTTGCTTCCATTTTGCACAATCACTTGCTGAAGCTTCTTTAAAGAAATGAAGACTTGGAAGAAAGAAGGAGGAATTGATGAAATTGAGGCAGACAGAGGTTAGGTGACTTGCTCAGGGTCATAAGTGTCTGAGGCTGGATTTGAACTCAGGCCTCCTGACTCGAGGCCCAGCCCTCTATCTACTGTACCACTTAGCTGCTTCAAGGGGGAGGGAGGAAAGAAAGGAATTTCATCATTTTAATAATTAATTATGGCAAAATGCAGGCAAACATTTATCAGAGATTGCATTCTCTACTAAGTCATAGACAGGTCTGTGCTGTTGAATGGGAAATACCTTGGAGGTTGTTTTAGAAAAAAATTGTCATTGAACCAGGAACAAGGCTTAAACGGGACAAGTTTCCCTGTTAAACAGTAAAACTGGGAGATAAGGCCATTTAGGATACATTCTCTATATCTGCCCTCAGATGGTGCTCTGAGTACCAAGCCTGGGCATGAGCAGGACCCTAACTACTCTAACACCCTTGTCCCTTTGGACATTCAGGAGTGGCTTGTGGTCAACTCCCTCAAGGGATGTGTTGGTAAATGTTTAACAGCTGGCATTAATAACATTTTCTCCACCACTTTCTTAAGTCTAGACAATTAATAACACAATAACTCAAGCCCTGATTTGTAGCATTTATAGATTTCCAGGGTGTAAATTTTTATTTCAAAAATTTAACAACCAGCTCGTGGAATTTGACTCAGCACATTCCTGCCTTCATCTTCTTTCCAACTTCATGTGCCCTGAGAGGAAAATTATATAAATTAAAGATCATTTACTGAATGAAATCAAAACAGGTAGGTTTAGCATGCAGACTCCTCAATGGCTAAACCCACTAGTCTCTCTGATTCCTCACACAGTCTTCTGCAGGTGGTTCTCATATGCACACCCAAATGACTTTAGAAAAGACACACTTTCAAAGTTTCATGGAGAGGAGGAAGTAAATCATGTCGACAGAGATACAGTTAGAGGTTCTTGGATGTACCAAGAATTAGCTAGATGAAACAGTAGATAAGGTGCTGGGTCTGGACTGAGGAAGACCTGAGTTCAAATTCAGTCTCTCATGCTTCTTGGCTATGTGACCTTAGGCAAGTCACTGAAACTCTGCCTCATTTTTCTCAACTATTTTTGTTGTTCAGCTGTGTCCAACTTTTTGTGAACCCATTTGGAGTTTTCTTGTCAAAGATACTGGAACAGTTTGCCATTTCCTTCTCTAGCTTGTTTTTACAGATGAGGAAACTGAGTCAAACAGGGTTAATTGATTTGCCTAGGGTAACATAGCTAGTAAGTGTCTGAGACCAGATTTGAACTCCTGAATAGGCTTCCTGACTCCAAGCCTGGTACTCTATCCACTGCACCACCTAGCTACCCTTCCTCAACTATAAAATGGATATAATAATAGTACCCACCTCCCAAGGTTGTTGTGAGAACAAATGAGATCATATTTGTAAAGGGCTTAGCACAGGGCCTAGTACATAGTAGGCACTTAATAAGTGCTTGCCCTTCCCTTCTATTATTCTAATGCTGCCCAGCAAACCAAGGGAAGAGTCTCTGCTTCTGGCTCTCCTAGTAAATGCTCTCAACTCTTAAATATCAGGTAGACAAATTTGTTACAGGAAGCCTCAGCCAGCCGCCTAAGGGAATGCAAGCAAGGGCCATTTTGTATGTTCTACTAGTCTCCATCTCACTTTGGCGCCCCTTCTAACCAGGATTCCAACCAAGATTTCACTCTCCCATTTTGACTTTCTCAAGAGTAGAGATAAAAAGAAATACAAAATGACACACCAGCCTTTTAAGATCCTTCCAGAGCAGTAGTATCAAACTCAAACAGAAACAAATCCCTCCAGGCAGCATATTGACAGAAGACCACAAATTAATGTTATCTGTGTTGCATTATATTTTTAACTATTTTGTTAAATATTTCCCAGTTACATTTTAAACTGGCTCAGACCATACTCAGAGTTTTGTGAGCAACTTAGCTGCCTCTGTCCTAAAGCTCACAACTTGTCATGAGCCTGGCAATCATCCTTCGTCAACCAAATTTTCCCAGCCCTACTTCTGTCACTTTGGTGCCTAATGAAAAATGAAAGGGGAAATACCAGGCAACACTGGGCACCTATGACTTGGAAACGGCTGCCACAACTAGGTATTTACATGTATCTGTAACAAAGCTCTTAGCACAGTGCCTTGCCCATAGTAGACACCCAGTAAAGATTTGTTGAATCAAATTGTTGAAATCAACACCTTAGTATAAATGAGTTTAAGGTTCCATACTTCTCCAGTGGGCTTCTGTAACTCCAAGTCCCCACTTCCGGCTTCTCTCAAATCAAGTAAGTCAGTTACTCCACCAGTTTGAAATGCTATGGGCAGTGCCTTCAAATCAGAATATTTCCCATATTCATAAAATGGAAATTTGTCAATCCACTTCAAGAAGAAGAAGAAAGAAAGCTTGACTTTTCCCACCTTGATAAGTTTAAGCTTCTGATTCACTCATGGCTATTTGATCACTGATTAAACATGAGACTTTCATACTTTAAGGATCTATTATTTTATCAATGTGATAACTATTCTATCCCGCCCTACCCCTGACACCTTAGTAAGCGGTTTCATGAATCTAAGCAAACTAAAAAAAAAAAGTCATCATATGGTGGCCCAAGCTCTGGTGATAAGCTTCTCTACCCTTGGCTAGACTGATCATCAGAGGAAAGATATATAGTCTGGCACCAAGCCAATATGTGAAACTTTTCCTTTAGCATAGACTTCAAGAGCTCAGGGTCACCACCCAACCATAATTAGACCTTGCAGAGGAATGAGTGGAGAGATAATATATACACGTCGCTCCCATAATCAAACATATAACTGCTGGGGTTTGAATGTCAAGTCACTTATTCCTTACACATTTCCTCAAGGCTTTATTGAAGTTTGGTAGGAACATAGCAAAGGGTATCAATTAGATCAAATACAGTGTACAAAGAGTATACAAGCCTAATTGCTTTCTTATTCACTTTATTTGAGAGAAGCCTGCTGAGACCCAGATCACAGCTCTTAACCTTGAGGCCAACATGTGGCAAGGGCTTTTAAAATATAGAATGAAGTCTTCAACTGAAAATTTCAATGGCAACAGAAGATAAGAGTTAGGACTGGAAATTAAATGTTTTCCTGAACTCAAAATGTTAATTTGTCTTGGAATTTCAATGGTTGAATTGATTTTTCTCAGCTTTCAAAGGCTCAGTTCTATTCCCACTTCTTCCATAAGGATTTCCTCAATGATTTCAACCCACATTGATCTCTCTTTCTCCTCTAGGACTTATGGTCTCTACTACATAATTTTATACTTTATTAAATATTAATATTGACAGCTAGGTGGCGCAGGATAGAGCTCCAGGCCTGGAGTCAAGAAGACTCATCTTCCTAAGTTCAAAACCAGCCTCAGACACTTATTAGCTGTGTGACTCTAGGCAAGTCACTTTAATCCTGTTTGCCTCAGTTTCCTCATCTGTAAAATAAACTGGAAAAGAAATGGCAAACTGCTCCAATAACTTTGCCAAGAAAATCCTACATGGAATCATGAAGAGCCATGACTGAAACAACTGAACAACAAAATATTACTATTAATAATAACATTAGCTAGCATTTACATGACATTTTAAAATTTGCAAAGTGCTTTTACAAATGCTACCTCATTTTTATCCTCACTATAATCCTGGAGGTAGGTGCTGTTATTATTATTCCTATTTTACAAATGAGGAAACTGAGGCTGGAGAAGATTAAGTGACATGTCCAGTCACACAGCTAGTAAGTGTCTCAGGTCTTCCTGATTCTAGGTCTAATGATTAATAACAATGGTTGCCAATATTTACATAGTGTTTACTATGTGCCAGGCATTGTTCTAAGAGCTTTACAAATATCTCATTTGATCCTCACAACAGCCCTGGAAGGTAAGTGCTATCATTATCCCCATTTTATAGATGAGGAAACTGAGGTAAACCGTGCTTGAGAGATTTGCCCAGAGTCACACTGCTGATAAGTGTCTAAGGCCATATTTGAACTCAAGTCTGCCTGACTCCAGGCCCAGCACTCTGTGCACTATGGCGCCACCTAGCTGCCCCTAATTACGTAGAAATTTTGCATGATTCTCTAATTGTGCTTTGTGCATGTCATATCCCCAGGTGGATTATAACCTCCTCATTGGAAAGAATAATGTCTTATATTTCACTATTGTACCTGCCCAGTAGGTACAGACTTCTAGAGGTGTTTCTGTCTGTCTAACCTTCTCTCCAGTTTAGGAATCCTTAGTACAATATCCCTGGGAAACCCATCAAATCCACTGACTCCTATCAAAAGTGGACCTAACTCTGCATCCCTCACTTTACACCAACTGGCTATTTTTTCTCAAACATAACAATCCATCCCCCACCTCTGTACCTTTGCATCTGTCAACACCCCCCCCCCCAGCACCACCCCCACCCCCGCCACCACCATGGCAGGAATGCACTCCTTCCTCATGTCTGCTTCATAGAATTTCTCCCACCCTCTCCATGCAGCTCAACCACTACCTTCCATGTGAAGGTTGCACTGATTCCCTACCCTAACCTTCCTCCCTCCCTAACTACCTTGTATTTAACTGCATTTATATTTAGTTTTTCTTTAATCTGCATATGCTTTTATAAGGTCATGTTATCTCCCCAGATAGAATGTAAACTCCTTGAAAGTATGGATTGTTTCATCTTTTGTCCTTTTATTCCCCAGAGCTCAGCCCAGGGCTTGGTACATATTAGATGCACCACACATGCTTTTTGATTAAATAATTGATTGACCCACACAGGGAAAGTCTCCTGTTTCCTTTTTCTGTGCTGCAATCTGGCCACAGCTACATAGCACTCAAGATTCACCTCCCTATGTTGGGTTTCCCGGGCATCTCAAAATGTTGGGGTGCACCATGGTGACAAGGAATAGATGAGTGGATCCAGTGTCTTGAAGGAATTTCTCAGACTGTCTCCAAGTTAAAGAAAGGCATTAATTGGGGTAACACATCCTCCAGCCAGCTTTGTTCCTTATGGGAGGCCAGAGCATCAGAGCCCTATTCCCTATGGGAGGCAGAGCACTGAGCCAGGTTATGGTCTATGGGCAGTTTGATGGGATAAGGGGAAGGGGAACAAGAGAAGGGGAGGAGGAGTGCTGCCCTGGAATATCACACAGTCCATACAGATAAGCAAAGGGAACAGGAAAGGGGAAGGGAAGGGCTGTTCTGTAATGTCAGGTGGTTGGGGGGTGCTTTGTGAAAGCACGCAGATAAGTCCACAATGGGGGACTTCAATGCATAGTCTTCTTGATCAGTTTTCTAGCTGGTCACATCCTGCGTCTTATCTCGTATTTCATATCCTACATCCAACTTGCTCCTTCTGCCTTGAGCACTCCTTTCTACCTCATTACCTATATTCACTTCAGATTCATCTCCAGAAGCTTCCTCTCTTAGTGTCTGCCCTCTCTTTCACATACGAGATCCAAATTGCAAGTGAGTTTTAGCAGGGATTTATTACTTATAAGAGATAAGGTAGAATTTTTTTTTTACAAATACAACAGAATTTACCAAGGGCAGAAAAGATTAGAGGGTTTTATGAGTTACCCTGTTAACAGTATAAAAAGCTGAAAGTTCTAAGCAAGATTTTCCCCTTTCACAATCCAGTGATTGTAACTGGTCCTAAGCTTCCTAGCTGGGCTCCTTTCAGGGAGCCTGAGTACACTGTGTGGCAGACATCTTGTTCCAAGGAAGAAGTAGCACTCACCTGTCTCCCTTTTGTCTAAACCCCAAGTTAATTCTCTTCCTCTAAGAAGCATTGGTGTTGGCCCCAGCACTGCTCCTTGGCAGAAAAAGAACAAAATGTCTGTCATTCTATTCAATTCCCTGCCCCATTAGAGTCATTAGCGGGTATCCAAAGGAAAAGAAAAATTAATAAAGTTGCATGACAATCTTCTTCCCTCAATGTGGGGGAACCAGAAAAAGAACTTTCACAGGTGATGAATAAATTGATTGAATTTACGGAGATTTTTATGTTACTCCTCACTCCTATGATGTTTAAGGTTTCTTCTAGCGATATACATGGTACATCAATATTCCTTATTATTAAAAAGGTTACCCTCCCACCTCTCCTTCACCTCAGTGCTCCTTCCCCTCACCATTACTATTGGCCTCATTGTTTTGAAGCACCTGGTATATTGGAAAGAGAATTGAAATTTGAGCCAGAGGCCTGGGTCTTGATTTCCCCAGGGTGAGCTCCAGACTTTTTTTGGCTGAAATTCAAGCCTTAAGCAACTTGTTGCATTGAGATCTTTCTGAGAGAGAGAGAGAGAGAAGGAGAAAGAAATATCAGAGAACAAAAATGCGTTGACTTTTCTCATTGGGATCTCAAGTACTGGAGGTATGGAAAGGCAGCTTTGATTCATTGTTATGTCTTTCTCCAGGCTACTACAATATGTGGACTCCCATTTACTACTGCTGGCTTCAGTTTATTCAGTACTGAGAAAATAAGCTGTTTTGGTGTTTCATCAGAATGTCCAGAAATGTTTGGAGTTGGTAAGGAGAAGGTACAACTAGTGGAAAGAATGCTGACTTTCAAGTCAGTGGGTTCAAGACCTGGATTTGAATTTCAATTCTTGTATTAAGTATAACTAATTAAACAAGTCATTTAAATTCTTCAAACCTCATATTCTAGTAAGATTGGATAATAATATTTATATTGTCTACCTTGCAGGGTTTTATACTTTGGAAAATGTAACTCTCCTCCAAACTCTGACAGTCAGACAAAGACATGGCCAAGAAAATAGAGAAGGACGTTATTTTTGTGCTCTTAAACTAGGGTTAGCTAGATGGCACAGTAGATAAGAGCACAGGGCCTAGAATCAGGAAAAGCTGAGTTCAAATCTGGCTTCAGATACTTATGAGCTGTGAGATCCTAGGCAAGTCACTTGATTTCCTCATCTATAAAATGAGAATAATAATAGCACCTAACTCACTGGGTTGTTGTGAGGGAGGATCAAATGAGATAATATTTGTAAAGTACTTAGCACAGTGTCTGACACATAGTAAGTACTATATTATTATTAAACTTACCCTTTGGCTACTGAAATTAAATCTCAAAACAAGTATCAGAAATGCTATCTCATCAAAAACCTGGCCTTATCTAGAACACTAAGCCCTTATCAACCAGAGACCATCCAGTATCCATGCTCAGGGTACCAGATACCTAGAAAAGAGACAAGCAGACTCACATATTTTCTTTTCTTTTTTTTCAGGCAGTTGGAGTTAAGTGACTTACCCAGGGTCACACATCTATTAAGTGTCAAGGGTTTGGTTTAAGGCCAGATTTGAACACAGGTCTTCCTGACTTCAGGGCCAGTGCTCTATCCACTGCGCCACCTAACTGCCCCTAGACTCACATATTTTCCCCCAGCTACCTCCCTGCACATTAATATAAGGGGAAAGAGTCACAGAAACATTCTTTTATTTGGAAATTTTGCTCTTAGGAAACCTAGACATATGCTTCCCTAGAAGCTCACCTTGGTCCAACCCTCAAATTTGCCTTCTCTCTACTCCCCAAATTGAAAAGTGTAGAAATCTGACAAATTACCAAATAGCTACAGTACTAGCCCTTTCTTTTCTTTAAATATACCAGGGAAATCCCATGCATTGGAACGCTGAAATGGTCACATGACCTTCCCTGGCCATGATGCTGGCCACTTCTCAAATAACAAAACTTTAAAAACTCTCAAAAGATACAGCTCTCACTGACCTTGTGATAAAATTCAACCCTAATTCCAGAGGACCAGTGATGAAGAATGCCACTCATCTCTTGACACAGAGGTAATAGACTAAATATGCAGAATGAGATACATTTTCAGGCATGATCAATATGGGAATTTGTTTGGGTTGACAGTGCCCTTTTTTTTTTTAACAAGTGTTTTTCTTTTTCTTATTTGCAAGACAGAGAAAGATGGGAATAAGAAAAATAAATACTTGATAACTGAAAAAATTAGATGTGAAAATAGATAAATGAATAAATAGATAAGTAAATGAATAGGCAAATAATTAGGTAAAATAATCATTGTTTTGTAGCCTTTTGGTGTTGTCTATACCTAGATATTAGGTAACTTATAGCATAACCTATGCACAGGAATTTTCTAAGGATCAACATGATGCTGGGGGACACACATAGACATTTATGGGAACCATCAAGGCTCACTAGACCTCCAGAATTATTCTGCTATGCCAGTGAAGAGGTCTTACCTAATTTTCTTTCCTTTACTCTGGTCAAAAATAGTCAACTCTGCACCTATAGTATAAGACCCAGGTAGGAAAGTTTGAGTTTTTCTGTTTCCCTGGTGCTTCCTGAAAGCAATCTAAAAATGGGAGACATACCAGTGCCTTCTGAAGAGCTATTAGCAGGAGCTGCTGCTTTTTCTGCCCCTACAGCTCAAGTGTCCTACCATACAGATTGTACTAATACTAATGCTATGTAAATATTAACTATTATCATTTAAAATGGCTGTGACCAGATGTGTACACATATGCGCACGCACACATACACCTCTGTACGTATGAAGTAAATGAGTACATATGAAGATAGAAGGATAGAATAGGAAAGCTGTTTACTAAAAATTGGAACCAGAAAAGAAGTGTGGTGGCTGCCAGAGACAATGCCAGAGGCATATAACTTACCTGAAGTAATTTAAAATAAGTGTATTGACTTAAACTATAAACTTTATAATACTTTTACATCTTTAAAAAACCTTTTAATATGCATAGTATATTTTTGCTGTAATCACTTGTTTTAGACAATTGGCATAGAGTTCATAGAATTTTGACACATTGTTCAGTTCTTCATCATAAAATTACACTTTTATTACATCAGATATTAAGCATACCTTTTACAAACAATCCATCTTTCCTAGTCTACCCCCTTTATTTTAACCTAAGGATTTTCAGTGGGGTTTCGGTGAGTTCCCAGGCTATAGAAACAAGCTTATCTCTAGCTCTTAGATGAATTTAATAAACTTTTGTGACATGTGACATGATGCAAGGTCATATTGCCATCTCCCACCTCCATTTGGGGATTTCTACAATTCTGGAGCAATTTTTCTTCTTAGCATATCAACATATTCATCATTCCCTTAATGAAGACAAGACATATAGACCCCATGGAAGCAAAAAAAAAAAAGGGAACAAAGAATTTCTTGATGGATTTCTTATAGTGTGATGAAGATGCCTAGGATATCTTGTAGGTTCACCTAGACTTCTTCTGATAACAGCTTTAGTATTGACTTGGATGAAAAAGTTGAGTTTCATCAAAGTGAGCAAAAATTAACCTTTTTCCAATACTATACTTAGTATTCAGTCTTCGCATTATCATTTTGACGACAAGTTTTTTTTTCTTCATAACAGTAATTATCATCAGTTTTTAACTGGCCTTCTCTCTCTTCTTCCATCTTCAAGAAGTTTAAGCCACATGGTAGAGGAAGAACTATCTCTTCATCTTCTGATGGTCTTTGCTTATCTTCTGGTGGGTATATAGGCTGAATTACAGCATTTCTCTTGACATTGATTTCTGAATTTTGCTTCACCTTTCTTTGTGCTTTGGTGATTGATCTTGTTTCTTTTAGAGTTTGAAGGTTCCTGGAAGTACTTGATTTTCTTACAACAGCAGCCACAACAACAGCCGCAGCAACAACCCGCTGGTCTGGTGTTAACAGGCACTGAAATACAGTCTTTATGACTTACTATTCTTGAATTTTTCTTTCGGGGAGCGGAGAGTCTTAAAAACACAACAAAAGAGAGTGATGAAATGTGTGGAAAAACATAGAATCCAGTACTCGATTGACAAACAACTAACTGAGCTTTGGGGAAATCAACTCAATTTGGTTTCCTTTCCGTTTCATTTGGTCAGTGAGATGTTTTGAATCAATCTCTGAAGAAGTGTATACGCTGATCTATTGTTGTCATAAAATTAAGCCAAGTGATTGACACAAAAAATTTGGAGTGTTGTTAGGGGGACTAAAGCCAAATGATGTTAAATTATTTGAATTTTATAGTCTATTTTTCATGCCCTGATTCCCCAGATACCTTATGAGCATCAACGTCAGCCATTTTTCCAGTCTCTGCTTTCCCCTCATCCTTGTAGGCAAAGAAGCCCTTTGTAATACTTGAAATTATCAGCATTAACCCGTATGAACCAGTTGTCTCATATTAGTAAATTATGAAGAAAGCATTTTAAGTGTTTTGTTGTTTTCTGTCCTCCTATACTAAATAGCAATAGTGCAACATGACTTTCAGTCTCATGAACTGTATTACGGGGCCTTGATTTGTAAATCCTTGTTTTGCTTTTTCAGGTAGAACACACTGCATAGGACTAGCAGAAGAGTTTGATGAACTGGCTAGGATAAGTTTAGCTTTTGTAAGTTTCTTAGTGGACTATTAGCTGGGCTTGGTGCCTGATGTGGCATTAATCTTGATAAAGAAAGAGAACTATAGACCAATTCTACTAATAAATATTTATACCATTTTTTAAAAATCTGAGCAGAGTATGAATATATTGCAAAATTTATTCAATATGTTCAAGTTGGTCTTATACCAGGGATATGAGGATGGTTCAACAATAGGGGTTCAACAATTAGCATAATTAATAATATAAACAGTTAAGACAACAAGCTCACATTATTATATTCTTAGGTGCAGGGAAAGCCTTTGACAAAATATGATTCTTACTTGTATTATTGGGAATAAGGATAGGAATAAACATTTATATATTGCCTACTATGTGCCAGGCACTATATTAAGCTCTTTTTACAAATAATGTTATTTTACTTG